AAAACCCACAAAGAAAATTTAACAGATTCCTTCACCAATACTGGGCGTTTTACAGTGCGTTTTAAGCCTGGTTCACACCTGAGCGTTTTACAGCGCGTTCCTACGCGTTGTAAAACGCTCAACATGTGAAAACTAATGATTGCCTATGGGCATGGCTCCCACCTGGGCGTTTTACAGCGCGTAGGAACGCGCTGCAAAACACCCTACGCCCAAAGAAGTACAGGAGCTTCTTTGGGGCATTTTGCTGCGCGTTTCCATTGGTATTCCCGAGTGTGGATCGGGGTTAACAAAGCGGTAACACCGAGCCACACTCGGGAATACAGCGTACACTGTGTCTTCCGGCGGCTGCCGACTTCCGGGTTCCGTACCTTGCGAGCGGCCGTGTCACAGGAGGGCGGAGCCGGCGGGAAGTTTAAAAGTGAAACAAAAATGTATTTATTTTTTTTAAATAGAGAAAATGAAGGAAAAAAATCATACCGCCAGTGAAACGCGTGTTTCACTGAATGGAAAAACGTGCGAAAAAACGCGAATAAAATTAGTTGAAAAAATATGCTCAGGTGTGAACCCAGCCTTAAGATCGTTGATCAAATAATCTCCCGCTGTTTGCATTGTATACCCTAACAGAGCCAGCAGATGTTCGTTCAAAGATTTTCCGACTGGCTTCTTCGATTACCTGATCGAGGGATGCCATCCAAAAGGGTGCCGACAGTGGCACCCACTGTGTGAATTTCAGCCAGTTCTTTCTGAATATAGTATAGTGTATGGCCCGCTTTAGCCTGGAAAACACTGCCCTAATAGGAAAGAATATAAGTGAAATACATAGTATAATGTGCTTTAATCTGTATGTTATTCTTTACCTTTGCCTAGACTGCATACTCCATTTCCTACTGTCCCAAACTGGGCAATTCAAAGCTCAACTGCAGCCAAGTAGGGAAGGTATTGAACAAGGGTAGCCAAACTTCAGCCCTCCACCTCTGGTGAACCTACAAATCTCATTATGCTTCTACCTCTGGGAGTCATCACTGTGACTGTCAGCCTTGAACCTCTGTGGGGTTATTATTATGGGCTGGTTCACACCAGCCCCGTTAGGCAGCATTGCCCAACACAGTTTGAATGCAAAGAAAAAGCAAAAAGCCTTGCTTTAAATAAGGCCTGTTCACACCACTGCATTGCTGTACATTGCGCTAAAAGAATGCAAGCATCATTTTATCACAGCATGTTACAACACACTGCATTGCATAGAATTACTATAGAAGGAAAAAAAGCAAGTATTGCAATGCGTTATAACAACGCATTGCAACACATTCACACCACACAACAGTGCACACTCGCTATGTGCTATGCATTCTACTGTAAACCAGTCCTTATCTGTGACTTCCTGTCCCAGTGACAATAACTCCCCACATTTTGCCTCCTGAGGTCACAGGCTTTGAGAGGGACAGGAAGTGAGATGTAATCTCCAGAACTGTTTGGCAGTAGTATATTTCCACAAAATAAAAACAGGTTTTGGCTAAAGTTGGGCTTCAAATTGAACATTTGATAAAGAAAAACCTAAACAGGGGTACTTTTCATCCACATCTTCCACATCACAAGTCAACCTATTTATGAAAGCTTTTTTGAAGGCCGGGCTTGTCATTTCCATTCATTAGTGCATAACATTTAGATTTATGCTAGCAAAATGCTAGCAAAAATTTATCTGTTCCAGAATGAGGCAGGTTAAGGATATTGCAGTGAAATTAAAGGTTTGGGGGGTGGAGGACAGAGCAGGCAGCAGGAAGACATGGGTAGCCGAGGCCAGGAGCACTTAGAAGAATCTGTGTGAGAATAGATAGGTTCTGGAGGCAAGGGATGGGTGGCCGAGGACAGGAGAGCAGAGAGGAATATGTTTGAGAGTAGATAAGAAGGTGTTGGGGAGACAAGATATGGTTAAGGCAGGAAAGCAGAAGGGGATCTGTGTGAGTATAGACAGTGAGGTGAAGTGGAGGAGTAATGGATGTTTGATGGTAGGAGAGCAGAGAGGGCTTTGTGTGAGAGTAGACAGTGAGGTGCTGGAAGGACAAGTGATAGGTGTCAAAGGGCAGGAGAACAGAGAGGGATATGTGTGAGACTAGAATAGGAGGTGATGGGGCAGAGTGATGGGTGGCAAAGGGCAGGAGAGCAGAGCGGGATCTGTGTGAAAGTGGGAAGTGAGGTGCTGGGGGAAAAAAATGATGGGTGGCAGAAGAGTGCAGAGGAAAAAAGGAATAAGGAGAGAATGGGGTTTGAGATGCTGGAGAGATGAGTGAAAGGTGGCAGATGTCAGGAGAGCAGAAAGGAATCTGTGTGAGAGGGCATGGGAAGTGCTGCAGAGACAACTGATGGGTGGTAGGAGAGCAGAAAGGAATCTGTGTGAGAGGGCATGGGAAGTGCTGCAGAGACAACTGATGGGTGGTAGGAGAGCAGAAAGGAATCTGTGTGAGAGGAGGCAGTGCGGTGCTGCAAAGACAAGTAATGGGTGGCAGGAGAGCAGAAAGGAATCTGTGTGAGAGGGCAAGGGAGGTGCTGCAGAGACAAGTGATGGGTGGTAGGAGAGCAGAAAGGAATCTGTGTGAGAGGAGGCAGTGAGGTGCTGCAGAGACAAGTGATGGGTGGTAGGAGAGCAGAAAGGAATCTGTGTGAGAAGAGGCAGTGAGGTGCTGCAGGACAAGTGATGGGTGGCAGGAGAGCAGAAAAGGATCTGTGGAAGACACAGTATGACAAAGTGTAGGCAAAAAACAGAAAAACAGGTTGAGTCCCCTTGTGTTCAAACCGGTAAGAAAACCTTGCAAGATCAGCTTTCAGTATATGCATTCTATTGAAATTCAGAACACTGATATTTATAAAATTGGAATTTGAGAAGAAATTGGAATCTGCAGGAAATAAATATTTGCAGGTTAATACAGCACTATAACGGCTGGGCACATAATTATAATACAGATCTCTAATTCTACCTCTGTTTAAGTTCCATTCCAGTTCACTGGTTTTGTGTTTTTACGAAAATTCATGATTTTGATCTCAGCTTTCAAAAGCCAGTTCAATGTTTTTCTACTTTGACAGGCTACAGATCATTGGTTGATACATGAGAAAACAGGCAGTGAGGTGCTGGGAAACAAGTGATGGGTGGCTGAGGGCAGAATAGTAGATTGGTGTGAGAACAAGCCGCTGAGGGTCTTGAATGAGGTGCTTTCAGATAACCAGTTAAGCAAGAAGATGCAAACTAAGTTAATTTGTAATGTCTTGATAAACAGGACCTTTATTTTATCTTCTATCCTAAACTCCATTAGCCTAGGGCTACGCTGGCAATCTCTTTGCTACATAGAGATTTAACTACTCATTGGCTGCCATCTCATTTGCAGTACACTGAAATCAGACAGTACATGTACACTGACAGTTATCTTATTATGATAATAAGATAACTGTCAATAAGCAGTTCAATCTTTCTTGATTTATTCAACAGTGTAACCCCTGGGCTAAAGGCCCATTCACATCTAAAATGTGCATTTTACAGCACGTTAGTTTTGAATGGCACCCCAACACACTATTACTGTAGCAGCAATACACCCAAATTACAGCACACCACAATAACCATGTCATGCATTGTGGTGCTAAAAAAAAAAAAGAAGTAATGTTCAGGTGTCCTGCCAACCCCATCAGAAATAAATGGGCTGTTTTCATGCAATGCGCTGCAAAGCATAATGTAAATGGGTTCTTAAAGCTTAGGTCTGCCCAAATCTAGTTCTCCTGGACACCGGCTGTCCGATCACCCATCATTTTACTAAAATGTGGTGATATCTTACTCAAAATTCTAGTATCACCGTTCCTCATCAGCCATAACAGACCAAGCTACTTAGCATTGGGTGCTAATGTATAATCTGATCACTGTATTCATGGTAGCTAAACATTATTTATTTTTTAGGACATACTCTGCTTTAATTCCAGCGTATTCCAGGATAAATTTAGGTTGGAAATGTAGCACAATGTGGATCTTTCAATCTACATATTAAAGCTTTCCTGTCCTGAAATAGCAAGCAAAAGGGAAAGTTGGTTCATAGTTGGTTGTAATACCCTTAACAGTGATCCTAAATACTCATACTTTTAGGTGGTAATACAAGGAAATCCAATTCTGATGTATCTAGACTCTAGTATGTTTGAACTTGCCAGCATGACCCCCACCCAGGCTAAAAAGGAAGCCTGTTTGGTGTTTTTAGTACTACTTTCATTCATTTTAATAAATATATGATAATATTATATGCTGTATAGTGTGTGATACTGGACCATTGAGTCCTCATACATAGTAATAGAGCAAATGCAATTTTCTGCTACTGTCTCATTCATCGTGACTTAGAGTGGGGGTGTATTTTCCATTTTTAGTGCAGCTTTTTTCCTTGCACATAATATAAATGAAATGGGTACAGAGAGTGCCTTAGACAAAGGTGTCAAGAAACCAATCCAGAATCCACCCAGAACTGTATAATATGGTTTTCATTTACGTTATTCTAATGCAATGCTTCTAATGCTTTTATACGCATGATTGGGCATGTTTACAGCTTGCATGTACTGGTGTTAACCCACGCTGTACACACAGAAAGGTCAGGTCACAGAAACAGTGCGTCTGACTGTCAACAAGGAAACAGACTGGACACATTGAGATACGCTGTAGTTCTAATCCTACGTACAGTTATAATGTGTGGTCTTTGTGTGAGTCACAACCTGTCTTTATTCTAAGGCTATGCATATGTGCCCAAACATGTCTCAGTGCATTAGTGGCACTGGTCAGGATGGAGATTTTTGTAAAGACATCTACACTTAATTTGTACTAACTGTTAAAACATAAAGCTTCAGATTACAATATTGATATGTGATTAGGATTAGTTAATCATTCGGTCACATGTGCATATATGTTATATGCATTTACTATTCTGATATTTATTGTTACTGGTAAAATAAATGTAAATAATTTTCAAAATATCTCTTTGTTTCAGCCTTTCCATTTGCTGCACATGGCCAACCCTGTTTCCATTAAGACCCACCTGGGTCTAGACTATTAGTTATTCCCAAGTGTGTGTTCTTCATCCTCCGCTGCACTAACAACCACCTGGGCCTTTTTGTGGCTGTCTTGTACACACTAATGGAGACCAAACTTCCTGTTACTCCCACCAGTCCATCCTCTCCAGGCTTGTCCCCTGTCCTGGCAGCTGATAAGGTGGATGGATTTTCCCGACGTTCTCTCCGCCGGTCCCGCCAGCGCAGATCACATAGCTCTTCACAATTCCGCTATCAGAGCAAGCAGCAGGAGCTGACACCGTTACCTCCTCTGAAAGGTAGGTGTGCCATATAAATGTCTTTCAGGTTTACTATGCTTGTTTTTTTTGCTCTTTGGAACACAATTTAATTAATATGAGCAAAGTTAATGTGCAAAGCTCACTAAACCATAGCAACAAATCAGATTTTATTGATGTAGGCAGATCAGTGAAAATTTCCAGGTAAAGCCCCATTCTCATCCCTTCTTTTCTCCTTTTCATAGATAATGGGGGGATAATAACAATAGTTCACACCAGCCTTGTGTAGCACCACCTTACCCCTGGGCTGTTGAGGAGGATCCCTAGATGGTCAATAAACACCAGCAGAGCGGTTTAGGGCACAGGATACCGCAAAGCAAGCAAAAATATAGCTCCAGACTCCAACACATTTTTCAGCACAGACGCCTCTTCTCAAGACACAGGACAACTTATGTTTAAGGTGCCCAGGTTCAGGCCCCTCTTTTCTGCAATGATCTCACTAGGCAGCAAGCCTGGAAGGCAGGATCAAACCCCTTTATGCTGGCATTCTTGAGGCAAAGGCCTGGGATGGAGACCACACAGTTGCAAGATCCCAGTTTGGTCGATACATGAAAAATGTAAAGGTGACAGACAGGGTAACCCAAGAACCAAAGTTAGCCAGGTATACCCCATGACTTAATGTAAAGAAAGTACAAGAGCAAGTTGTGGAGCAGCTGGTAGTACTCTCACAGGAGGATGGTATGGAATCTGGCCCATTCTCATGTGTTGGGTGGTCATTTAGTGGTAGAAAAAAAAAGAGCGGATTGGGCAGCGTTTTTTTTCCGGCCTGGTATATACAGGTCATTGAGTCATTGACGAGTATTGTAAATCTTGCCCTGAGTGTCACATTAATGCACCTCATCCACATTTGCAAAGTCCACTAATAACCCTGCCCATAACTTTAAGAGGGTTGCTGTGGATCTGGTCGGGTTACTGCCAAAGTCTGCCAGGGGGCACCAGAACTTATTGGTAGTCCTTGACTATGCCACCTAGTATCCAGAAGCAATCCCTCTCAGAAACACATTTTCAAAGGTTTTAGTGAAAGAGCTGTTCCACATGTTTTCCTGTATAGGTATTTCTCAGAAAATTATGACAGATCAGGGAACCCCTTTCATGTCAAATGTATCGGTACTGCATTGGAAATAGAAAAATTACTCACCTAAACCTCAGTGTACCACCCCCAAACTGATAGGTTGGTAGAATGGTGCAATAGAACCCTGAAATACTGTATATGCTGCAGTGACTGACAACAATGGAAAAGACTGGCACTTCCTGTTCCATACTTAAAGCTTTTTAATCAGGGAAGTACCACAGTATGCTATGGGGTTATAATTGTTTGAACTTTTGTACAGTAGATGTCTCTAATGGATCCTGGAGCTAGTCTGTGTAACATGAGAGCAAAAGGCCACACTTCACAAGTATAATTTAACCCATTGCTCAGTTGCAGTATAGGATAATGACAGTTATGGCTCAGGAACATATATATCAAGCCCAAGAGGCACAGGCCAGAGTTTAACACTGCTCTGCTAAAAGCAGAACCTTTAATGCAATAGAAGGAGTGCTTTGATGCCCATCAGAAAGAGTACATTTCTGGTAAAATGGCAGGACCCCTATGAGATCAGAGAGAAAATCAGTGATGTCAACTACCATGTATCCTAGCCTGGAAAGAGAAAGTCCCTCCAAATGTATTGTTACCCTAAGAAAACTCTGGAAGGATCAGGTGGCACTCTCAGCAGAAAGCGACCCTAAAGTATCACCAGCAAATGGTATTCCTAAGGTTAGATGTTTAGAGACTTTGTCTACTACTCAGATTCAGGAGGTGTGAGAGTTCTTGCATAACAATTGAGATGTATTTTCAAATTACCTGGCCGAAGTAAAGTAATTTATGATGTTATTGTGAAAGAGCCACACATCAAAGTGAAGTTAAAACCTTATCGGGTACCTATGGATCAGAGAAAAGCTATTTCAGAAAAGGTGCAGAAATGCAGTAGTGCATGATATGCACACAATAAAAGAAATATCTAAGTTTGATGCTTATCCCATGCCTGGGTGGGTGAGTTGATGGGAAGGTTGGATTCCACCAGGTACATCACCACTCTTGATTTTACTAAGGGGTATTGCCAGGTTTCTTTAACAGACATGGCAAAGAAAAAGACCGCTTTTTCTGATACCAGAAGCTCCAGACAGTTTTAGATTCAATCCGTAAGAGTTAACAGCCTATCCAAAAAATGCACAATAGTCCTGGAAGAAGCGAGGGGGTAGCTGTATGGTTACAAAGCCTTTAATGGACAACATTAAAGCACTTAAAGATTGTCCCCAGCAAGTGTAAAAAAACATGCCTAACTTTGCCTAACTTTGCTACAATAGCAGCTCCTCTTACTGATCTTATTAAAGGGAGCAAGTCCACCATGGTGAAATCGAATGATGGGGCTGAGAAAGCTTTCCAAGAGCTGAAGAAAGTATTGCGTAAGGGAACACTGTTAACCACCCCCCGGATTTTAGTCTTTCTTTCAGTCTTTCCACAAGTTTTTTTCACAAATAGATGCCTCTGAGGTTGGCCTGGAAGCAGTCTTGACCCATAAAATTAATGGGGAATGACATCCAATGGCATTCCTCAGCCAGAAACTCCTGCGGAGAGGAGTTATTCAATGGCAGAAAGGAAATATTTGACATAAAGTGGGCACTAGAATAATTGAGGTATTACCTTTAAATTAGGTCGTTTCAAATTATTATAGACCATCCTCCATCGTCTTGGATGGCTCAGAACAAAGGGAAGAATGCAAGATTTAACATTTTGTGAAGAATACTGGCCAGGGACCAAACAAGAGAATGCTGAGGGACTGTCACATGACCACAGTTTGTTGGCATAATGTGCTTGTTCCCACAGATCTAAACAGAAAGAGAAGGTATGAGAGGCATTAGCTGGCAGGATTGTGGACAGTGGATATGTGTCACCTTGGTTTCTAACATACACATAGCAAGGATTCCAGGATTTGTGTCTGTTATCGAGAAAGCAAAACTTTTTGTTTTCTCAGATCTTAATAAGTTCTGGTTTTGATCCTGGAAGTTCTGTAGAGCTTTGGGTGGGCTAAAAGCCTCCATCCATAGGCCCATAGTTTACCTGTTAGCAAGACCTCATTAATTAGTCTCAGCTATCAACAGGCTTTTTAATGTGTGAGTTGACTGATGTTGAGGGCTCTCTCACTCTCTCTCTGTCTTTGATATAAGGGTATGCTGCTGGTTAAAAAACGCTGACTACTGACAGAACACTAAAAAGATACATGTGCTGTCTGTTTGTTTTGGGGTACACATCAATGGGTACCCTGTTAGTCAGAAAATGACATAGGTTTACTTTTTTCATACAGTTGTTATCACAATTTTTCAACCCTTATTGCAAAGAAAGTTTATTGGCAAAATATACAGACTTTCAGCTGTTTGCAATGAACAAATATAACAAAAGCAATGATGGGTCAAGGCAGCACAACAAATGTTTCAAGTGGTTTACCCAAATTCAACTGAAAATGCAACTTTTTAATGACTTCTGCAGTCTCATTATTCAACCCTAGCCTGAATAGAATCCCTTGCAAGAGCACACATCTGCAGAGCAGGTGTTGCATCAGGTGTGCAAGAGACAACTAGGTGTCAAGGACTTCATTAGTTGCACCAGATGTGCCAGAGCTAGAACACATGAAATACCTGAACTGGCTACTGGTTTGAGTGTCACACTTGACTGCATGTTAGAAATATGGCTGTCATCCACACTGCATCAGTGAGGTCAATGGGAATGCGCTGACCTGCATTTATGTGCATTTCAATGCCCATCTGGGCCCTAAAATTAATTTGGCTAGGGTTTCCATCTACTTTAACAGAGATTTTTTTCCCCTCACTTCCTTCTTTGATAAATCAGGTCCATAGTGTTTTATCAAAAAAGTAAACAGGTCAGCTTGGTCAGGACTTCACTTACTTGCACTTACTGAGATGGTGCTATATAATCATAACAGGATTTAACCTAGTAATCATTGATTAATGAAAACTGAATAATACCCTGTGGTGTATCCATATTTTTGAAAAAACAAACAAACAAAAAAACATTCTACAATATGCTCCCAGCAGCTGGTTATTTTTCTCTGTCAGCTGTTTCTCAAGTAGAGATTTGTATTGGTTTGATAACCCGTGTAAATATTGCTCACTGTGTCGCTGTTTTGTGCATTTTGCTGATAAAGTCGCCGGCCAAGCATTATAGTTTGCATTTGTCCTGTAAGTGGAAGACCCATAAAAAAAATTGATAGTAAATAGCTGGCACCCTGGCAGAGGGAGATTGGGGTGCAGGACAAAAGGGCCCAGATGAGTTTGGCACTCATAAGATATACTTAGCCAAATTTAAAATTAAAAGGAGCCCATGCAGGTTAAAGCACAGATCTCATGCTGTTATATTTGGCTATCAGGAGCATGTGACTCATTTATATTCTATGAGCCAGTGATGACCATCAAGCCGTGGTGGAGGCGTTCGGCCAGTCAGCGCATTTAATCACAAGGACTTCCTTGGGAGTAACCTGTAATGAAACGCGTTGAGTAGATGGGATCTGTGATGTCACTACGTTGGCCAATCACATCCACCGCAGTCTGATGTTTGTTTGTTGGGGGGAGAGTGTTTACAAATATGCTTCTATTTCCTGGTGCTGGGAAAGCACCTGGACTCCATAAGTGTTAGTACTATTTTAAATAAATATTTATTTGATAAATTATTTTAATTGATCTATGCGATGGAAGCTCTTTTTTCTTGAGTTTATAAAACTAAATGAGATTGGAAGAAGTGGACAAGGAAAAAATATATTTGGGAAAAGTTGGACCCGGTACCACTGTTGGCACATTGTAAGCCCTCATTCACACTAGAAAAGGCCGCCATGTACAGCTCCGTGCTGCGTGCATGGCCGTATCGGGCAGCTCCCGGGAAGAACAGGTGTTGCTTGTGATTAGTACACAGCACCTGTCCTTCTCTATGG